CTATCTATCTATCTATCTATCTATCTATCTATCTATCTATCTATCTATCTATCTATCTATCATCTATCTATCTATCTATCATCTATCATCTAATCTCATATTTCCGAACCATTCACCCCTCTCACATTTAGGATATCAACTTCTTCAAAACAACAGTGTTGAATTTGAAAAAAAAAAAATCCTTAATACGAGAACCGGAATAGGAACCTCCTATCTAAGCTGCAAAACTCCAAGCAATCTCTAGTAGGCAGCAAATAAATTTGTTTTCCAAACCTTTTCCTGTCTGATTTTTGCAGCCACAGCACGAGAGCCGTAAACTGGAACTGCCAGTTGGAAGGACAGCTCATAAGACGTGGTGATGAGATTTACAGCCAGCGTAGATCCTTGATTTACGACAGAGGAGAGGCAGGTGACTTGACCTCTTATGATGGAATCTCAGTGCATGCACAAGGAGTTTCTGATGTCCTAATGGGAGAAGGAAAAATGTAGACAGCGCTATCAGCAGCCTCTTCAAGGCCATCCTCATGAAAGGATGGAAATATTTGAGAAAGGTACGTGGGAGTTTTTCTTCCATGTGCCATTGCTGGGGTTTATGAAAAGAAAGGGCACGCTGAACTTCAAATTAAAAAGTTTGAGCGTTAGTAACAAATCCATCACTGGTTCTAAAATGAGTCCACCCCCCCCCCCCCCCTTCTTCAGGTACCATATTTACTTCTTTTCACCTTCCAAAGTTTAGTTTCTGAGAAGAGCAGGATTATATTTCTTCATCTGAATTGTGGTCCTGAGGTAGGTACCATATTTGCTTATTTTTCACCTTTCCAAAACCTGAGTATTGTTCCTGAGGAGAGCAGGATTATATTTCTTCATTTGAATTGTGGTCCTGAGGTAGGTACCATATTTGCTTATTTTTCACCTTTCCAAAACCAGAGTATCGCTCCTGAGGAGAGCAGGATTATATTTCTTCTTCATCTGAATCATGGTCAAAGGCAATTGTTGATGGAGTTTAGAGTTTTTAAATGTTTGCCCTAAGTCTGAGAGGTCCTTGGGTGCTCTCTTGTTTTCTTGCAGACATTTCACGACCCCCAACTGGGTGATGAAATCTGTGCTAGGAAGGAGTGGGGTTTGCACTGATGGTGTTACCTAGTTGGGTCATGAAATGTCTTCAAGAAAACAGCCAAGCTCAGAGAGGCATCAAGGATTCCATAGTCATCATCCTCTTCCTCCTCTCCACAAACCCCACCCCCTTCTAGCACTGATGATGTTATCTAGTTGGGTAATGGAAGGTCCCCAAGCAAACAATGAAGCTCAAAGAGAACCAAGGGACTCCACAATCCTCTTTCTTCTCTTCCCCTTCTTCCTCCTGTC